GCATAGCAGCGCGTCGATTGGACACTCTTTGCGGTTCATACAGCCGAACAATCTTCACAACCGGCCGGAACGCCTTTGTGGTATTCCGTACGGGTACAGGCGGATCGGAGACAAGATCCGGTTTTGCCGCCACGTTTGCCGCCGAGAGAAGACGTAAGATCGAGAACATGTTTGCCTATACGAAAAAAAAACTTCTTGATACAATGAAACAGTCATTGCCAGTACGTAACGTATTGATTTTAAGGACGTTTTGAAGTCGATTTGGCTAGCCAAGGAATTGCCTTTTGCACTTACTTCTGGCTTGGCAAGAATATAAGTACACACACACACACACACACACACACACACACACACACACACACACACACAAACACACAAACACACAAACACACACACACAAACACAATGTTAATGTTGACTTTACACATGCCTACAGCTTGTCAATCTAACGAGTTCCGGTGCAACAGTTCGGGGTGTGTGCCACTCTCGGATAGGTGTAACGGCCAAGCTGACTGTCTGGATGGAAGTGATGAACATAACTGCAGTAAGTAACAAAGTGTTATATCTGTAGCCTAGTATTAAAGCTTAAGTTACGTTGACGAAACAAACACCATGTTAGTCTTGAAGCTTCTTAGGGTTTGAAAATAACTTTGATGATTAAAAAAAATCACACGGTGCTTACATGTACCTGCAAACTTTTTACCACACATACCTACAGCTTGTCGACCTGACCAGTTCCTTTGTGACACTTCGAGGTGTATACCAATCTCAGCAAAATGTAATCGCCACCGGGACTGTCTAGATTGGAGCGACGAACTACTAAACTGCAGTGAGTTAATTGAAAAAAAAAACTGTTGGGAGTTATTGTTTTTCATTTATTGTAGATTCAGCATTGCTCATAATAGCCTGGGTACCATCCTACTTGTATAACGGGGCTCCCATACTCGCTTCCCTAAGAAGGGAAGCGAGTGTGGGAGCCCCGGCATACAAGTAGGTTGGTACCCAGGCTATGCTCATAACGTATAGTGAAATAAAATCTCAGTATTTATTCTCAGTATTTATTCCTTTCGAATGTATCCAGATCGGGATGTATCGGCAGAGACCGATAATGCCTGAACCCATCGCTGTATTTGCTCCAAAGCAAATATTGGCCTTTCTAGTTTTACCTTCCTTTGCTCATCTCTTCACTTATGTTCCGCAATAAGTTCGCTATCTCGAATCCAATCAAAATAAAGTTGCAATATTTGATTTATTATGTTTGCAGTTTGCTCATTGACGATTGTATTTTCCTCAGCATGGGTGCCGTTTAACTTTACGTATGACAACAGTTGCACCAGCTGTACTGGTGAGCGTTTTGTAAGGCAAAGCAGCTACACCTACGGAGGTCGGATCCTCTATGTCGGTGTTGTTTTGTGCTCGCCGACTCAGTACAAGATATTTCTGAGTGACAACCTGAACGGGACGTTCCGGAACATTGGTGACACGTCAGGGCACGGTCAGGACCACTGTGAGCTTGTTGGAGCTTCATCGGATCCTCCATCCTCGTCACTGGATCCGGATTATCGCACCTGTCGTGGAACAGGTAAGCACGTGACGTGGCTACTGGGATATTCGTAGTGGTAGCGTTAAATCATCTATCACGTATTTAGCACCGAACATGCTAGGTATAGTAACTTTTGTCCTTGCTTTTGTATATTTACAAAGCAAAATGTAGTTGCTGTGTTTGTCACATTCATCACATTCATCATGTTTGTCACGTTAAGCATGAATCAATGGACGTTAGTTACATAAAGAACACGAAGATGTTTGCATCTTGGAAGATAAAAAGTAATAATTTTGTGCATTTCTTTAATTTGTGATAGGTTATTGGCGCTATTATCGTGGAAGCAATTTTATGTATGGATCAATCGGTTATAATTCCGGATCCGGATGGTTTAGTAGTAGTCGACGGTCTTATGGACGCTGGTACAGATGTGGTGTTACTATCCCTGAAGGTAAGACACATCTTTATTATGTTTACCGAAAGAATACTATATTTTTTCTACATTTCCTCTTCATCCGTTCCAAACACTGACCTCTGAGCTGGTCAATGACCTGATTTGTTGACGTATCTCAGCATGATAACCGGTGCTGGGTCACACAATGTTGCCATTTTATAGTAGGAGGGATTTAGACTCATGTCCGACCATACATATGAATGTATTTGATTAAGAATAAAAGCAGACCATAAACGAAGGTAAACATTCAGGTAAATAAATAAATAAATAAATATATATATATATTGATTTATATATATGATTTGTCACATTCATCACATTCATC